AACCCCTGTGCATCGCCAGGTGTGACCCAAAAAGGAAAAAAAAATTTTTTTTCTGGAGACCAGGCAGGAAGTGTAGCTGAACCTCCTGCTTCTATGCTCTGCCAACCTTGTTTCAGCTGTTTCACACAGAACTCCCGAGGATTAGGATCTGTATGTGTTGGTTGCTTGGGGGGTGGGGGGGTTTGGTAAAACAAGTAACACAAGCAGAGCAATGTTCCCAGGTCTCGTTGGCTGGCATGACTTGAAGATCCTAATTTGCATGGGGATTTCAGATTGGGGCAGTCACTTGAAGCTCTGTTCTCTCTTCAGTCGGCCCCAAAGCCCAGGGGAAGGGAAGATGTTCTGCCAGGGTTGAGGTGAGCAGCCAAAAACGTTCTCCCCAGGAAGAAGTCATGGCTCCCCCGTGGGCCTGCTGGAACGTGGCCTGGGAGGTCACAGAAGTATTTCCACATCCCTTTTAGTCCCTACCCCCTCAGACCCTGAGCCCAAGTGAGGAGAAATATCAGCATTGGGGTGTGTGTGTGTGTGTGTGTGTGTGTGTGTGTGTATACAAGCACGAGCGCGCATGCGCATGCTCAGCCAGGGACAGAGTGGGGGGGTGGGGGTGCAGCAAGTATTTAAACCTTGATGTCAGTTCAACAACAGCACAGCTTTGAGAAACTAAGGGTTGACGGGAACATAATAGGATCTTGCATCCAGGGTATAAGCTGAAAAATGACACAGACCCCTATTCCCCCTTAACAGAAGTTGGACTCATCAAAAACGCTCTTGTGGGATCGGAGCGATAGCACAGCAGGTAGGGCATTTGCCTTGCACGCGGCCGACCCGGGTTCGATCCCCGGCATCCCATATGGTCCCCCAAGCACCGCCAAAAGTAATTCCTGAGTGCAGAGCCAGGAGTGACCCCCTGAGCATTGCTGGGTGTGATCCAAAAAAGACCCCCCCCCAAAAAAAAAGCTCTTGTTAGGCTGGAGAGATACTATAGGGGGTAAAGAGCTTGCCTGGTACACTGCTGACCCAGGATCGATCCCCAGCATCCCATACGGTCCTCAGGCCTGGCAGGAGTGATCCCTAGCACAGAGCCAGGAGAAGCCCCGAGTACTGCCACATGTGACCCAAAAGCGAACAAACAATGCTTTGGGTGCTGAGTGTATCTCACAACAGAATTAGCATATTCTACTCACATACTGGCCAAGGCCAGCGTCTGGAACCAAGTGGCCTCTCCTCTCTGCCTCTCAGACCCAGTCTGCTTCCTTTATTCTCACTTCCCAGAGCCCCTTCTTACTCCTCAGGGCCTCTTCCAACCATCTCCACTGCACCCACTCTCCCTAGCGCCTCTCCCTCCAGCACGCTCTGCAGCTCCTCCGAACCTGACAGCTGGGAGCCAGGCAAAGACGCAGAAGGAGGGGGGTGGGTTCCCACAGATCAGGGGTCCTTTGCAGACAACAGTCGACGGCGGGCTCCTGGTCCTCCGGCCGTGGGGCTGGGGACTTACCGGCAGCTCAGGCAGTGGTCTTGGCTCCCAGGGGTCCAGCAGCTTCAGTGGACTGAACTGCTGTGACCAGAGAACCTGAGCTGGGCAGGGATGGGGGCAGTCCAGGCAGCGGGGGAGGGTGGGTGGTTATTAATAGAGATGATGAGTGCAAGCAGCTCAAATGGCACAGGGGGTACTGAGACCCTGAACCCGGGAGCCCTGCTGCGTGCCCAGAGGCTCAGGAAGGGGGAGGAAAGACCTGTGGGGTTCTCCCACTGAGCAGTCTGAGCCAAGGGCCAGTCTGCCTAGGGACTCCCTTCCCCCTGGCGCATGGAGCACGCAGCCCACAGAAACCTGCAGAGAAACTGGACACCCAGAGCCTGAGAGGAAGCAAGTGGTGCAGAGCGGAGGGTAAGGACCAGAAGCCTGACCAGCTGCGCAGACTCAGTCCGGCTGGAGCCCAGGGAGAAGCTGTGGTTTAAGGTGCCAAGCTGGGGGGACAAAGTCTGTCTACAATGGGATTGCTCTCTGCAAGTTCCTGGAAGGAGGGGCTTTGTCCCTGGGAGTGCCAGGTCTTGACAGGATCAGGAAACAAGTTGTCCAAATCCAGAGCTACCTTATGCTGCCAAGGGTTACACAGGAAGACTTCGACCAGATTTTGCTCTTGTTCTTTTTTCTCTCTCTTTTCACAATTTTTTGGTTTTGTTTTCTTTTTAGATTTCAGAAAGATTTGGGTTATGATTACTTCCAGGCCACACCCAGCATTGCTCAGGGCTTGCTCCTACCTTGACACTCAGGAATTACGCCTAGAAGGGCTCTTGGGGGACGGACCATGTGGGGTGCTGGAGATTGAACCCAAGTTGGTGCAAGGAATGTTCCCTACTGGCTGCACTATCGCTAGACCCTTAATTTTTATTTATTGTAGTTGCAACATTGTTAATAGTTTATGGTTTTGTTTTGTTTTGTTTTGTTTATTTTGGTGATGGTGGTTTGGGGGCCATACCCAGTAGTTCTCAGGACTTACTCCTGGCTTTGTGTTCCTGGCAGTACTCAGGGGGCCATAGATGGTGCTGGGCATGGAACCCCATTCGGCCACATTCAAGTCAAGAGCCTTAGCCCCTGTGCCGTGTCTCAGGCCCCTCTGCACGGGCCTTAGAATCAGCCGCTCTGCACCTCTGCTAGAACATACTGCCGGCTTTGGCTCTCTTAGATGCGGGTCCTCTGGGGCTCCCAGAATCCTTTTCTCACTCTGTGAACTCTCTTTTCTCTCCTTTCCCCATCCTCAGCTTCCCAGGCCCAGCTAGGAGCTGAAGGTTCTCCCATACCCTCCAGATCTCTCAGCTTATGTCCTCCATCCTCTCCCAAACCAGAGAAGAGAGAAACACATAGCAAAAAGCGATTTCATCATCACTGCCTTCCTTCCTTTAAAGACGGGTGAGAAAAGTGGTTCCCTATGATTGAGCACCTAAAACCACCGAATAGAAGGTAATATTTAGCCTGTGTGCTCTGGGCCCAGCGCTTTGAAATTTTCCAATCCGTCCTTGAGAGCGTCTGGGTCCTGGGTCTCGTCCTTGGCACAAATGCGCCCTCTGCTGTACACTGGGAGCAATGACATGCTCCCTCTAAGAAGTCACGTTCTAGCTGCTGCCAGTACCTTTTCTCCTCTCAGTCTACATTTTGTCTCTCCTTCGCCTGCTTTCAGCCCCAGCCACTGCTTTCCCTTTGCGGATTTCCCAGAGTCCGTAAACATAGTTGTTTTCTTCCAGTAGCTTTGTAATGTTGACCAGAAGCTCAAAGGACCTTTCCAACTCCCCCCGTCCCAACTTTTCTAAGTTCTATAAACTGAGACCTCACATAGGAAGTATAAAGCAGAGGGCAAAAGGGGAGTGGAGAGGTGGAGGTAATGTCTTAGCATATCTGATGCTAATCCCAGATCTCTTTGCTCCCAGCATTGCTCCGGGGACCATGTGGTGCTGGGGATTGAATTCAAGCTTCTCGCATGCAGAGTATGTGCTCAGCCTAGTAAGCTTTCTGTCCTGCCCCAGAAAGGGAGTACTCCGAATGGAGAATGTGGGCAGAGGAGACCAAAGGCGGCAGTGAAGTTGGTTAAGACAGAGCAGGACAGAATTGGTAGAGAAGTGCAAAAGACCAGGGGGTGGGGGCTGGAGAGAGAGCACAGCGGGTAGGGCGTTTGCCTTGCACGCGACCAACCCGGGTTGGATTCCCAGCATCCCATATGGTCCCCTGAGCACCGCCAGGGGTAACTCCTGAGTGCAGAGCCAGGAGTAACCCCTGTGCATTGCCGGATGTGACCCAAAAAGCCTAAATAAATAAATAAATAAATAAATAAATAAAGACCAGGGGGTGAAGAGCAAAAGAGTGAGGAAAAGGAGGGCAGGAATGGAGGAGGAGATCAAGGGAATGAAGCAGAGAGCTGAAGAAGAGATCATACTGGGGTATAAAACTAGGAGAGAGTATAAGGAAGTAAGGTGCCTTGCCCATAACTGACCCAGATTTAATCCCCAGCACCCCCTCCCCCCATGAGCCATCCCTGAGTTCAGAGCCCAGTAGTAATCCCCAAGCTCCACCAGTTATGTCCCCCCCAAAAAAAAATAATTAAAATTTGCAAACAAATCAGAAGAGAAGACAGCAACAGAAAGTTAGGGCATACACGTATGTTTATTCTTGTGCAGAAACCAAAGCACTGTGACTCACACCCAGTGTAATAAAGGAAACGGTCAATTCCCAGGTCAACAGCAAAGATGTGTGGAGGAAGTAAGGGTGGGAGCTTGGGACGTCAGGAAGCGGGAAAGGAACAAGGCCAGGGCTTGAGGGTCAGGTACTACTGAAAAGCGTTTGGGCTCTGGGTGTTTCCTTGCTCCTTCCCAGGCGCCCACGACAAGAGGCAGTAGACAGACAGGCAGACAGACTCAAAGGAGGGAGCACAGATACTAAATGTTGTTTCCACACTCAGCCCCACACATCAGTCCCCCACATCATGCCCCTCACTCTCATGACCACATGCCCCTCCCCCCTCACCCCCACTCTTCTTGCAGGCAGTTGGCTGCCTCTTCCCCAGCCTCACGACACCAGCACTTCCTCCCTCCCCCTCCCCGTGACTCACCTTCACGCATTTCTGCGCTGCCCCTGCTTCCTGCCTCACCTTCCACACACTCCCTCTTTTTTGCCCTCCTATCTGTTTTAGGTCTGGAGCACTGAAACAAAGAATCATTTTTCTCATTCTCAGGGAAAAAACGTTTTGCCCCCCCACACCGTGGATGCTTCTTGTGCAAGGGTATCTCGAATTGCTAACTTTCTGAAATCCTAAAAAGTAAAATTCTTTTCCTGATCTAGATGGTATTAACTCAATCCGTACAAACTGCCCTGGCCCCTTCCGGTCACCTCATACTCTGTCTTTCTCGGAACGGTACATCTCTGCTACCGAGGCTGGTGTTTAAGCCAGTGAGCTTATTCTCCCTGGGGACTACTGACACACCTGCATATCTGACCCTTCTCTCGCCAGCAGGTTGGGGGCATGACTAGACCTCCCGTCTCACCCTCACCTCAGATATCGCATCTGTGCACAGCTGGCAGAAGCCACATAGGTATAATAAGCACACGAAGGTATAAGCCAGCCACGTTTAGGAAAGAGTGAGGAGCAGAAAGTCAGTTAGTGCCTGTCAGGGCCACCTCAGTCCCTTCACCTCCTCTCTTGCTGCGAATTTCTTGCCTGAGCTGTCAGCAGTAGTTTCTCTGTGTGTCTCATTATATGTCACCACGAGGAACAGAGAAAAAGCACCAGTAAGGGGAAAGAGACCAATGGAAGGGTATGGGTGGGGATTCAGAGAGAGAGAGAGAGAGATTAGGCAAAGCACTAGAGACAAGAGAAGTGTGGGGACAAAGTACAGCAAGCAGAGGGAAGAAAGCGGCCAGGAAGTTGGAAGGAAACTGGGGGTTGTGACAATCAACTCCAAAGCCATCTCTGGGCGGCGGGAGGGAATTTCACCTCCAGAAGCCTGAAGAGCGAGTGGGAGGGATGGGTAGAACCCTGGACACCCGGTGTGCCGCCCTCCGTTGGTCCTAGCTGCCGGGGCAGTGATGAGCTGCCCCAGGCCTCCACACCTGAGCCTGCAAGCCGGTTCTGGTGGCTGAAAATCTGGGTCTGGCAACCTGGAAGCCGCAGGAGCTGGGGGAGGCCCCAAGCCCCCTGGGAGACTCTGGCGCAGGCACGGGGCTCAGCACAGGGAGCGAGGCCAGCTCGGCTCTCCAGATGGGCTCGTCCAGCGTGGTGGCGGCACGAGGGGCGAGCACAGTGGGGGCCAGGGGCTCCGCCGTGGGCTGCGGTGCTGGGGTGGAAAACCGGCGGATCTCCTGGACGCGGGCGGTTTTGGGGCCCACGGAGCTGGCAGGGCCGGGAGTCGAGGGGCCCTCGTCAAAACAAAACATCGCAGTTTTAAGTTGGTAGGGCTGGTGTCGCATGAAATCGAGAGCCTTGATACCCTGCTTGGGGGGCCCCTGGGGCCCCGGGGACTGGGCCTTGCTGGGGAGAGCGCGGGCGGCCTGGGGGAAGTAGGGCGAAAGCAGCGGGTTGTACGCGATGGGCGGCGGGGCGCGGATGTTGGGCGAGTACTTCCAGGAGGGCGGCAGGGACGGGGTGGGCGAGGGGCTTCGGGGCCGAGGCCCGCGGCCCAGGCCTGGCCCCGGGGGCGCTTCCACCACGTAGCGGTCGGCGCGGCTCTGCCGCCTGGCGAACAGCTCCCCGCCCCGGCCCTGAAGCCGCGGCGGCTCCAGCACGCCCGCCGAGGAGGCCGCCCCGTTCACCAGCCCGTCCAGGAGCCCTCGGGAGGGGGGCTTGGGCGCCACCGGGGGCGGCGTCTTCGGGGGCACCGGGGGCGGCGGCGTCTTGGGCGCCGCGGCAGGCGGGGCCGGGCCGCCCCGGGCGCCCGGCGGCTGCATGAAGTTGCAGGCCTCGGCGCCCAGGCTCAGCGCGTCGTCGTCGGGGCCCGACTCGGCGCCCGCCGCGCGGCCCTTCCCGTCCAGGTTCTGCACCAGCGACAGCAGCTCGGGGTTGGGCGAGTTCTTGGCGTCGTCGGGGCCCGGCCGGAACATCTGCCGGCGCGTGCCGCGGCGCCGCGCCTCCTGCAGGATGCCCGTGCGGGCGGCGGGCACGGCGATGCGCTGCTCGCGCGCGCTGGGCGCGGGGGGCGCGGGGGGCGCGGGGGGCGCGGCGGGCGCGGGGGGCGCGGCGGGCCGCGACGGCGGCGCCGACAGGAAGATCGACGCGGTGGACGTCAAGGCCGCGGCGCCCGGCGGCGCGGGGGGCTCGGGGGCCGGCGTGACGGGGCGCGCGGGGGCGGGGATGTACAGGGAGCTGGTGGCCGTCACGGGCCCCCCCGGGGGGCGCGGGGTGCTGGGCGCGGCGGCGGCGGCCCAGGGCGCGGGGGACGCGAACGGCGGTGGCGCGGGGCCGAGCCCCCCCGGGGTGTCGATCGCGCGCTTCGGGGCGTGGGGTCGGAAGATCACCGAGGAGGGGGCCGGCCGCTGCCCCGGCAGGCCGGGGGTGAAGGGCCTGGCCGAGCGGTTGAAGATGCTGGGCGCCGGGGCGGGGGCGCCGCCGCCCGCGAGGAAGGGCGGGGGGCTGCGCGGAAGCGGCGCCGCCTCGGGGGGAGCACTGTGCGCCCGAGCAGGGGCGGGCGAGGCCGGCCGGGGGGCGGCGGCGGCGGCCAGGCCCTCCCGGGGCGCCTCGTGGGCGCCGGAGCCGGAGGCGGCGCGCTGGACCCCCCGGCCCGACGCCTCGCTCAGCGGCGCCCCCGGGCCCGGCCCCGCCAGCTCCATGTCCAGGTAGGGGCTGTCCCAGTCGGCCTGGTTGGTGAGGCTGCGCGCGTCGGAGAAGGCCTCCTCGTCCAGCTCCGACTCGCTCGTGGGAGGCACGCCGTCCTCCTCCTCCTCCTCCGTGCCCGTGCCGGCCGCAGAGCCAAAGCTCACCAGTGTGTACTTCTTGGCTCTCTGCCGCCTCTTCTTAAACATGAGCACCCCCTTGGAGTGGGGGTTGGGGGCTGCCGTGAGCAGCGAGGCAATGGTCCGGCACTTGGTCTTGGCTTCCTTCACACTCTTCTCTTGGAGGCTCTCAGCCCGTTGCAGCTCTGGGGAGGCCAGCGGGGAGATTGGTCAGGGAGGCCCTCCTCGTCCTGTTCCCCAGGGCCTTCACACGACCCGCCCCGCTGCAGTCAGCTCCCGCAGACCCCCACCCTGTCTCACAGGCCTGCCCCACCGCGCCTCGGCCCCTGGCCAGACGCTCTGACCAGAGCTAGTGGAGGGCTGAAGGTGAAACCAAGGGCAGGCTAAGTAGGTGACCAGAGCTCTCTTACGGCCTCTCTCCCCTCCACTGTGCTGCCGTCTTCCCCCAAATATGCCCTCGACACCCTCCAGTCTCTGGGGCGGGGTTGGAGGGGTGTCATTTCCCATGACGGGCTAGGAGATGAGGCAAGCCCCAGCGGAAGAAATGGGACCCCCCTCCCTACAGAGACTGGCTTAGAAAGCGCCTCAGAAAGTCCCAGACTTAGCCCTCTTCCAGCACTAATCTGAGTCAGAATCGAGGATCCTAAGCAACAAGGATCTTCGCTGGGTTTCTTTCACCCGTCACAGTTTACATCCATAAATTCATAGAAATAACCCCCTCAACACACCATTTCAACAAGAACATGGCTCTCATGAAAGCCATCCGTGGGCATATTTTCCATGCATTTTTCTCTCATTTACAGACACGCTCAGCTTTTACAGGCCCAGGTGACACATACCCATGTCCCCACACAAAACCATTGAACACATTCACACAAGTTCCTGGTAGCCTCTCTTCCCAGAAATCCCCACTAATCCTCACAGAGATCCTTTGACTAACAACTTGGATAGAGCACCTGTACCCCACCCCCCCCCACCTCACACCCCGATACTCACAGCCTCAGATCTGAAATGCCAGAGAAGCCTGGCATTGCGCTGCAATCTTTAGTATACCTCAAGGTTACCAGCTAAATATATTCTTTCCAAGCCAGTGGGGAGCTGCTTGGGGGGTCAGAGCTGCTCCCTGTTTCCTGATTCTTTCAGGCACAATGCCCCGGGCAGCAACTACAAGGACTGAACAAGGGGAACTGTGGGATAAGGCTTCCCATCCCGCGTGGGGTAGGAGGTGGGGCCAGGAAGTGCCCTGCCCCAGTGGCTAGGCCCCTGCTTTGGGCGAGGACATTCTGGTCCCTGAGGCCCAGTTCCCCCTGAAAAATTCTTGAAATTCCATGTAGTTTCCACTCAAGATTCCAAACTCCCTTCTGATGATGATTGCCATTCTGCTCATCCCAGTATTTATACCATATGATTAGTACCGTGGATGAGGGATGGCCATTGGAATCAGAGATTGGCCTGGGGAGAGCGGTGACTCTTCCCTGATGAAGTGTTCCCATATCTGTTCATGAGAATGATAATGGCCAACCCTCAGTGAGCTGCTGCGAAGGCTTTGTGAGATAATGTAGGTAAATTTAGCACTTCACAGCACTGCTGAGGCCCAGAATGAGGAACCAGAATGAATAACTATTACTATCAAAGCTTTCTTGATACTAGGATACTAGTCGTACAACTTTACAGACATCTTCTTGTTCACCATCTTTTCCCATGCATTCCCACATACATGCCTCAGGTTTTCATAACCACTTATACCACTTATTCTCTCTCTCTCTCTCTCTCTCTCTCTCTCTCTCTCTCTCACACACACACACACACACACACACACACACACACTTTCTTCAACCCAAGTTTTTTATAGTTCTTGACAGAGTCACATCATTCTCCCATTTTGGAAAAAAAGGGGCTGTGAAATTATCCCGAGGAAGGAATGCTGAGGAAACAACAATAACAAGGAAGGCGGGGATGAAGTAGTAGAGCATCCCCAAAGACCCTTCCCCTTCTCAAACTGTTGCTGTACTCTCCCTCACTCTAGAGCCTAGAGCGCATGGCCGTAGGAAGGCAGTACCTGCATAGAATGAGTCCTGGAGCTCAGGAAGTGGCTCTGGCTCTTTGTTGCAGCTGGCTTGGCTGAGGGGCTCCTGGCCGTTGGGCACAAAGGTCTCCATGCCGAGAAAGGCGGTGATGGCTGGAGCAAGACCAGCTTGAGCCACCCCCCACGCCTTTTAAAGCCCCTTTGTCTTGTCTCCAGAACTGGCAGATGAATGAGCTCACTGTCCTATTTTGGGAGCCCAGCCCCCTTCCTTCTCTCAGCTGCCCCGCAAGCCTTGGTGTGATGGACGTGGGCACCTGCCTCCCCGTCCCCTCACCCCGCCCCCCGGACAATAAGGACTGCGGGGCTAAAAATATCCCTGAGCCACTCACTAGCTGCAGTCACACCCAGCACGAAGGAAGGGACGAGGGTGCAGAAGTGAGATTGGGGATGAGCATGGGGTCCTGGCACGCACCTGGAGTCTCTGTGGGGAACTGCACATTCTCAGTGATGTCGGGCTCACATGGCCACATCCTTGGTTTCCGTCACACACACACACACACACACACACACACACACACACACACACACTTCTATGGATCAGCAGCCGAATGGTGGAGGGGAGGAACAAGAGATGAGAAGGAGAGGGGGCAATCCTGAGATCTCCAACGTGGCACGAAAGACCTCTGGGGAGAGATTTTAGTCTCAGACCTTGTTCTATAGCTCACATCAAAAATAGCAAAGAGGGGCTGGAGCACAGCGGGTAAGGAGTTTGCCTTGCACGTGGCCAACCCCGGCTTGATCCCCGGCATCCCATATCGTCCCCTGAGCACTGCCAGGAGTAATTCCTGAGTGCAAAGCCAGGAGTAACCCCTGAGTATTGCTGGGTGTGACTCAAAAAGGGGGGAAAAATAGCAAAGAGCCTGAGGTAAGTGCAGCTCGCTTCTTTGGCCCAGGCCTACATTCTTGCCTGAGATAAGGAGCCAACGAGCTCTCCCTCTGCAACTTCCTAGACACATCATGACTCACTCAGTGTCCTCAACTCCAGAAATCCTAACTGAACAAAATGACCGGATGCGGGGCCTGCTATCAGCAGAAGGGCCCCTTGAGCCCTCCCTGCCCTCACACTCTGCCTGCCTCCTGTCTGTCCTCTTTCCCATCTGCCAGCGAGCAAAATCACAGCAACGTCCACTCAGAACCTTTCAACTGCCTGGCAGCTTGTTCCCTGGTCAGTCGGAGCCACACGTGTCTTTTGCCACACGGGTTTCAACGGAAGCAATGGAGATTATGAGGATAATCATTTATCCTCACCTGCTCATCACTCTTGGCCACTTGTCCCCAAAATTCCATCAGGCAGGCAGAGTGTGTGGTTAGTGAGGAGGAGATTTAGAGTTCGTGTTGGAAGTATCTGGCTAGAGAAAAAAAGTCGGGCACTTACTGGCTTGCTTCGCCTTCTGGGCATAGGTGGTTGTAAGATCTTCGGCCACGGGATGGGAAACAGGCCCTACCATAGGGATGAGATGAGGGCCGGGCCGGAGGGGACCATGGGGCAACAGCAGGGCTTCCGCTGGGGGTGGCTGGAGGGTGGCCCCGTCCTCCCATGATGGAGAGCTCACCCGGCTGTCACCCTGGCTGGGGGGGCCAGGGACAGCAGGCGTCGGCTCTGCAGGGCTGTCCGACAGGTAGACCTCGTCAGGTGGGGCTCCCGGCGGGGTGGGCCTCGTGGGGCCTCGGCGGCGGGAGCGGCGAGGCTTCTCCTGGGTGGCGGGGCCATCGGGCTCACTGTCTGTCTCCCCGTAGTAAGCCTCGCTATCAGGGGGCGACAGGAGGCTCCCGGGCTGAGGAGGCTGGGCAACCGGAGCCCCGGGGGTCTCGGGGCTCATAGGGGAGAGGGGTGACAGCACTCGGAGTTCACTCGGGGATGGAGAGCGCACACACTCATCCTCCACCCTGCAGGGAAAAGATGACACAATGTGAGAAATAGGGTCCCCCTCCGCCGTGGTCAGAGGACTGACATGTGTGAGATCTGGAAGGGGCGGGAGGAGGGAAGGCAAGAGGGGAGGGAACTGGTGCATAGGTGGGGCAGAGGGAGGGGGAAGACAGACATCTGGAGGCAAACTGGGAGACAAATGTGCACGGAGGGATGGAGTAAGAGTGGGCGCAGAGGGCATGTGATGGCAGGAGAGACGGGGGGAGTCAGGCCGTCACTCAGGCTCCCACGGGGCCCCTGGCCCGCAGCTGCTGAGTCGCCCACTCAGGAGGTGTGTGCGAACAGCTAGACTCCAGAGCAGACGCAGAAGCACAGACATACAAGCAATAGGAGGCCTGGCCTAGGGGGACAGAGGCGGAGCAGGAGGGAAGGGGACCATACCGCCACACAGTGAGGACAAGCTGCGTCCCTGAGGCGTCGATGAGGCTCATGGCACTGGCGTGAGAGAGGCTGGTGCAGGAGACCCCGTTAATGGCCAGAAGCTGGTCCCTCTCTCGGAGGCCTGCCCTGCCAGCCTGGCTCCGTCTTCGGATCTGAGAAGGCATTGGAGAGAGACAGTCTTACGGGAAGGGGGGACAGCAGGTGGGGACAGGCCCATGTGTGCAGGGCGTTCTCCTGACTCTCGCAGAGTAAGGCTGAGTGAGGAAGGGCAACGAACTGCAATTGTGGGGGCTTTTCCAGAGGGAGAAGGTGCCAGTGGGGAGGGTGCTACAGTACGTGAGGGGAAGCAAGGTAATGTTGCCTAAAGAGGGTGAGGGTGAGTAGCAGCGGGGAAGGTGCTGGAGGTGGAGGTCAGACCCCTCTCAAGATTTCCTCCAAGGGTATAATCTCTACCGGTAAGTAGATCTCTGACATTGGAATCCCAGTGTTATCTACATAGGCAAGATATTTTAATGGGCGGTTGGGGGTGGCAGGTGGCGAGATAGTACAGCTGTTAAAGTGCTTGCGTTGCACACAGCGGACCTGACACTAGCATATTGGCCCCCTGAGAGCTGCCAGGAGTGATCTCTAAGCACAGAGCCAAGAGTAAGCCCTTAACATAGTGGTGCGTTGCCCATATTCCTCCTTCTGCACCCCCCTGCCCCACTGCTAAGAAAAATATTTTTAAGCGGTTTCTTGCAGTACAGTTCAGCAGCTTCTGGGAGATTGTGATAGTGTGCATAAATTGACAGTAATAGTCACGACCATTTCTCATGACCAGACCTTACTAAATGTTAGGCACTGTGCTAAGCACTCTATACTTTCTGGTTTTTTGGCTTTGGGGGTCACACCTGGGCTGTGTTCAGTGCTTAGTCCTAGCTCTGCACCTGGGATCACTTCTGGCGGTGCTCAGGGGGTATGCTGTGCCAGAGATCGAATACAGATCAGTCATGTTCAAGAGCAATGCCCAACCTGCTGTACTGTCTCTCCAGATCTGCAATCTACATATTTATTGCAGTTAATGTTTAGAATGACTCTATGAAGTAGATAGCACTGTAGCACTGTCCTCCAGTTGTTCATCGATTTGCTTGAGCGGGCACCAGTATTGTCTCCCTTGTGAGACAATACTGTTGTTACTGTTTTTGGCATATCGATTATGCCACAGGGTATGTGTGTGTGTGGGTGGGGGGGGAGGCTTGCCAGGTTCTGCCATGTGGGCGGGATACTCTCGGTAGTTTGCTGGGCTCTCTAAGAGGGACGGAGGAATCGAACCTGGGAGAGCCGCATGCAAGACAAACACTCTACCCACTGTGCTATTGCTCCAGACCATGAAGTAGATACAATTATTATTATCATTCTGGTGCTAGGAATCAAAGTTTCATGCATATGAAGCATGCACTCTATCACTGAGCTACATCACAGCTCCCTATATGTACCATTACTGCCCATGTTTTATGTTTAGGAGAAAATTCTAGAGATATAGCTCAGTAGGTAGGGTGCTTGCCTTGCACACAGCCTACCCAGCTTCGATCCCTCGCACCACATAGGATTCCCCGAGTCCCACCTGAAGCAGTCCTGAGCACAGAGCCAACAGTAAACCCTGAGCACTGCCACGCAGGGTCCCTAAGCCAGAAAAAAAATTTAAATAAAGAAGATGAAGCTTTGTAGTGAAGGGAAAAGCATAACAACTTCCTCTGACAGGTCAGGTCTTGCCATGACACTCCTAGTACCTAAAAAAAAGTTTCTTCTTCTGAGCAGGCGGAACTGACTGAGGGGAAGGGGAGCATCGAAGGCTTGAGAAGGGCAGGGCAGGCTGGGTGAGAAGCCTCAGCTCATCACATACCAGCTTCAGGAGAAATGAGCACATTCCTGAAGTTTGCAGGAGGGGAACAGACCCAGCAACGCCATCGTTCTCTGCTCTGACGCTGCCGGACGGAACCGAGGCCGCCTTTCTGCACCGAGGAACACTGAATTCCCTTTTCTGCTAGCATCTCACACACACATAGCCCACCGGAGCCAGTGCTCAGACACTGTTCCCCCCCACAAGATTTGAGCATGCTTCCCTGCCCAACCCCACTCTTCCTCCACGGACCCTCCTCCCCACCTCCCCCCCACACACACACCATGTGCCACCACGACACTTCCCAGGTTCCCTGGGATCCCCCTTTCCCTGAAACCTCAGTTTAGGGTCTCTCCCTTACCTTGGACACCTGTAAGGGTTTCCTCTGCTCGGCCCCCCCCTGAAGTCGGAAACCCCAGGGGGCTCCCCCTGACAGTGTGACCAGCACCTTTTCCTCAGCACCCATTGCTCAGCTTGGCCAATGGCCCTTGAAGTTTGGACAGTGTCCCAGGGAGAGAAGTAGAGGCGCTGGTACCCCGTCCGGCCTGTCTGGCTGTCCTGCTGCCGCCCCAGGCCTTTCCCCCACGCCACACACGGCGGGCAGGGCACTTGGCCCTCGGCTCAGTCCAGTCCAGTCCAGCACATGTGTCCTGTCAATCGGGGCTGCGCTGAAAATAGTTGCCGGCTGTACAACTCCCTGATCTAATTATAGTAAAACCCTCTGCCCTCCGCTGTCCCCCATTCTCTAACATGGCGTTTGACTTGGGACTCCGAGTAGCAACTCTTCTGGCACTGTATAACCAACGTAGATCCATTTGGAGACAACGCCTTCTTTGAGAGGATCGCGGACTCACCCCAGTTACTTTCCTCTGAAGCTCATTTCAGAGTGGCAGCAGTAGAACTTCAGTTCTAGAGCAAGGAATGGCCAAATTGGTCCTCCAAGTCCACAAGCTTCCAAGAAGGACAACCTTTCTGCTGTCTGCATTTATGTCTTAATCAGATGGAGATTTAGACCCTACTGCAGTGCTGGGTGCAGTGGAGAGAAATTCTGATCAGATCTGTTCCAGTTGAACTGTAAGCTCTACCATTAGGTCATCCTTTCCTGTCTCTTGACTCCTGACCTGTAGAATTAATCTTGTCTTCCTCCAGCCAACATATGTGTCTTGTTCATGGCTCCATTATTTTGTTTATTTTGGTTTTGGGGCCACACCCGGAAGTGCTCTTGTCCCGATGCTGCTGGGGAACATACAACGCCAGGGACTGATCTCGGGCTCCCTTGTGCCAAGCATGCTTTGCGTGCACTCTGCCCACTGGGCTACCTCTCTAACCCAAGGTTCCAATATTGTCATTCTTAGTCAGAATCACAGCTTGTAGGGCTGGAGCGATAGCACAGTGGGTAGGGCGTTTGCCTTGCACAAGGTCAATCCGGCTGACCCGAGTTCGATTCCTCCGCCCCTCTCAGAGAGCCCGGCAAGCTACCGAGAGTATCTCGCCCATACGGCAAAGCCTGGCAAGCTACCCGTGACATATTCAATATGCCAAACACAGTAACAACAAGTCTCACAATGTTACTGGGCCCACTCAAGAAAATCGATGAACAACAGGAGGACAGTGCTACATTGGTGTTGGAATATTACATGTAATAAAATAAAAAAAATTATAGCTTGTTGCTATGTCCATCTGCTTCCTATGCTTTGGTAAACCTGAAGGCAAGGCCTGTGTGCTGTAGGCAAACGATGGCCCATAGAGCTCTTAAATATTCAGTAAATGTTTGTTGGAGTAAACGATCTCTTACTGTACAGACATGGCCATGGAAAGGTATAGACTGTGTATAAAAAGCATGCTAACTCAGGTTAATAATAAAGTCTCTATCATTTTTTGTTTGGTTGCTCTTGGGTCACATCCAGCAGGCTTAGGGGTTACTCAGGTGTCACTCCCGGGGGTGCCCAAGGGACCATTCCGTCCCAGGGATTAATCCTGGGCCTCTGGCATGCAAAGTATGCAGCCTAATCCAGCCCTCTATCACTTTTAAAGTTAGCATTACACACATGTGTCCTATGTTAAGAAAGATTTTTTTTAATGTTTGACTCATTTAAATTTTATTTTTGGCACTGGGTTTTACAAAACTGTTATTGATATGGCTTCACATAAACCAGCCCAGCGCCAGACCCTCTGCCAGAGAGTCCATTTCCCTCCACCACTGTCCAAATCTCTTTCCACCCCTTAGACTTTGTGGTAAGCTTCCTACCAGTTCTCAAGTAAGAAAAATTTATTAACAAATATTTAAAGTAATGAAACATTATCATACTCCTCTAGTTATAATCACCCCTTTATAATTGTTTTGCTTTTTTGGTCATAGCCCTGGCTGTGTTCAGGGTTTACTCCTGGCTCTGCATTCAGGGATCACTTCCGGCTCTGCTTGGGGTACTGTTTGCATTGCCAGGATCAAACCCAGGTCAGCTGTGTGGAAGGCAAGAACCTTACGCACTGTATGTAGTTATCATTTTCAAAAGCTACAGGACAATCAGTATTAATTGCCTTGCTATATGATACTGGGATTTAGAGTTGGAATAAGTCATATAAGATACTGGGATTTAGAGTTGGAATCAGGGTGGAGAGTTAAAAGAGCTCATGTGCATGTTTTGCACGCTAGAGATCTGGGTTCAATCCCCAACCCCTACTTGGTCCCTGAAAACCAGCAGAAGCATTCTTGGAGCACAGACTCAGGAGTGTCTCCAACCATCACTGGGTATGGCCCGAAATCAAGAAAAAAAAAAGAATACTTGGATTTGGAATTTTTTTGGTTTTGTTTCTGGTTTGTGACAGTGCTTGGAAAACTGTGTGGTGCCAGGGATCAAAACAGTGCAACTCTTGCATGCAACACATGTGCTTGGCAATCTGAACTATATCTCTCCAGCCCATCATTCGAACATTCATTGAATACTGGCTAGGTATCAGCCATTGTGCTATAGCAGTGGCATGCAGTTAATCTTGAAAACTTGTCCATTACTAGTTCCCCAAAACCGGACAGCATATAGGACTAGATGGTTGCATAATAATGAGATAATCTATTAATGTACACCTACGTAATAATATTCATACATAGTATACACATATATGCATAATCTATTAATGCATATATTATTCCCTCAATCCTATGAATTATGGTTTTTGGGAGGGATGCTTCCAATTAGTGCTCAGATGCTTCCAAACCGTTCACTCCTAGAGATTCTGGGCTAAATGGGCCAACTACTCAATGCTGAGGCACAGGTTATATGGTGCTGTTCTGCTCCAGGGTTACTTGGCCTACAAGGCTATACTTGCAGTGCTTGGGGCTAGTCAAAGATGGGGATCAAATTCAGGCCTTTGCACCTGCCTCTGATCTGAGGAATCACCCCAGCGCAGGACTATGATTTTATTAGTTTGGTTTGGATTACAATTTTATTTAATTCTTTTCATTGTTTCAGTGCTCATACCCTTTTTGCTTGCTGTTTTTTGGTGGGTGTAGGGAGCTTACCCACTGGTGTGCAGGGCTTACTTCTGGCTCTGTACTCAGGGATTATTCCTGGCAGTGCTCAAGGGACCAGAGTCCTTTATGTGTGTCAGAGACTACACACTTTGTTATGGTGCCAGGGATCCCAAACAGCAGTACAACTGGGATTGTCCTGGGCATGTGGGATAGTGCTGGAGATCAAACTGAATGTCATTCAAGTACTGAGTCATTCTCAGCCCCCAAGAGTCTAAAAAGCTCCAATAGATGTTGCTAATTTGCAGTCTAGACTGAGATCCAGAGGAGGTAAATGGAAACCAACAAAACAAATCTATCCTCAAGAAGTAAGTGGCAGGGGCTGGAGCAATAACACTGCGGGTAGGGCATTTGCCTTGCAAGTGGTCGCATGCGGCCGACCCGGGTTCGATTCCCAGCATCCCATATGGTCCCCCGAACACCGCCATGAGTAATTCCTGAGTGCAGAGCCAGAAGTAACCCCTGAGCATCTCCGGGTGTGACCCCAAAACAAAAACAAAACAAAAAAAAGAAGTGGCATTAGCACTTGTTAGGAGTACAGTCTTATCCAAGACAGGATCTACTTGTCTATGCTGATAAATTAAATGGGATAAATTATTCTCAAATGCTGGGTATAGAGCCCAGTGTTAGGCAAATGCTCAATAAATTTTAAACTTGGAAAAACTATTAAACTAAGTGAATCTCAAACATAGTATGTATGAATTATTTAGAAGGTTATTATTATTATTAGGGTTTGGGTCATAGCCAGCAGTCCTCAAGATTTACTTCTGCCTCTCTGCTCAGAAATCATTCTTGGTGGGTTTGGGAGACCATCTGGGATGCCTGGAATTGTACCCAGGTTGGCCGTGTGCAAGGCAAGCACCCTATCCACTCTATATCGCCAGCTCCTGGAAGGCCTTTAGCTTGCTGGGACTCTCCTCCAGTATTTCTGATTCACTGTCTGGGTGGGTATTCTAAAATTTACATTTCTGTTTACCACGATACTTAATTTTTTGGGGGGGGGTGATTGGATAGAGTGGGGAATTGACAGTGCTCAGAGCTTACTTTGGGCTTTGCCCTCAGGGAGCCTTCCTGGCAGTGATCAAACTGGGGTTGGCTGTGTGCAAGTCAAGGTCCTGCCCACTGTACTATCTCTCTGACCCCTATATTGATACTATTAGTTCCAGATTCACACATTGGGAAACACTGACCTTATAAACCTCTGAGGCCAGGAACAATCTGTTTACTAAAGCTTCCAGCACACCAACGCAGATTACAAGTGCAGTGTTTACTAAATGAATCACACTGTCTTTTGGAATAAATATGTACTGTCAACATTCAAGCTGGACAGGACACTTGAAGGGCGGGCCTGAGCCAGCAATGGAGGGAAGTGAACACTCTGCTAGGTGGGTCTGGCTGAACGTGTGAAGCCCTTTTATCCACAGTATTGGAAATCACGGTGACTGCATTTATTTTTATTTATTTATTTACTTTTTTATCGAATCACTGTGAGATAGACCCTTACAAAGCTGTTCATGACTGGATTTCAGTCATACAACGATCCAGCACCCATCCCTCTACCAGTGTACATTTTCCAGTACCATTGTCGCTAGGTTCCCTCCCATCACCCCCACCCCCCTATTGCTTGCCACTATGTCAAGTGCTTTTCCTCTTTTTCTCTCTCTCTCTCTCCTCTTTTGGGCATTGTGGTTTGCAATATTGATACTGAAAGGTTATCAAGAATATCCCTTTACCTACTTTTAACACTCTGATTCTATCCAGCATGATCATTCCCTGCTATTAGTGACTACATTTAAAAGACAATGAGCAAGAACTTTTATTTACTACTGAACTACAACCAAGAACATGGTTGTCACATAGCAGTGTTCACAAAACGAATCAAGTCTTTTTTAATGGATTTTATGAGGCCATGAACATTTTTTTACCCGTTGATTATCTAC